CCCCAAAACCCCAAAACCCCAAAACCCCAAAACCCCTTGAGGAAGCTAAGTATTGAATTTGGAAAGATTCAGGCTATTTTTAGCAAATCTATGGCATATTTGAGGTCTATTTTAACCACTGGTTCTTCATCAAACGTCTTCCCTTGTTATTCTTGCGGTTCTTATATACCTCACGCATACTCCGGATTGGCTTTGGAAGAGAATAAGAGTGTGTAGTGGCTGGCCTTGTGGATGGAGAACTACCCATTGCTGCAGAGTGTGCTAATACATAACTCGTTCTCACTTACCAAATGACCCTCTTAAGGAACTTTCCTGATTTTTATGAGTTTTAGTTTGCTTTTGTCTGAGCTTCATAAAGAAAGCCAGACCTTTGGTATCCTCAAAGTAATCATTGACCATATCATTACTATAATCTCTTCTCACTCTTGAGTTCTCCTTTGAGTTAATATCAATATTGCTTACATTAGGTAGCCCATTTGAAGGCTTCAGGGACTTATTTTTGTTCTTAAGGATCATCTCCGGGGTGTTAAGCAAGTCCTTTTCCATATTGAAGATATTGAAAAGACTTGTTTGATTCTTAACAGGAATACTCATCTTCTGATCAAACTCCGATTTCTACAGGTCATCAAAATATTACTGAGTTCTTTAACGGTGATTTGTATTGACAAATGTCTTCGATTTTATCTGTCTTCATCAAATCCCCCAGCTTTGCTTGGTTGTAGAGAACTTTTGGAGGATTATGGGCTAAATACAACGCTCTGGAAATCACAGGGTCAGAAGAACCATAGAATGTCTTATTTCTAAAATTTTATTTATTGTACATACTTCTTAGGTTCCTCTTGTTCTATTTCTACAGCTGGGGTATTTTCGGGCTGAGGGATTTGTACAAGGGAGATTTTCTTTGCAGGCACTAAATTTACTGATTTCTGCCTTCTTTGAGAATCATGGCTTTGGATCAGCCTCCTCTTTGGCTTATGATAATTACTCGCTTTCTCTTTTATCTGTTTATCAATCTATAATATAAGTTTTAATATAATCCAAACTTGGGTTTTAATCAAGTTTAATCCGCTACTTACGCTATTTAAACCGAACTCCTAGTGCAAAGAGGGCTCAGAGGGACGGTTTCAAATGCTCTTGTGGCTTTTTTTTTGATTTCTAAAACACAATCATGCTTACTCCTCAATCAATCAAAATAACTATCAAAACTTGCCTAACCCTCCCTTATCCCCTTAAACCCCATCTCCCACCTCATCTTCTCTTCTCTACCCCTCTACCTTAAAATATCTCATTTTGATCTTTCTAACCATTTCATCTGCTGAAAACATTTTATTTCAAATTTATATCAAACTGCAGGGGTTTTGGGGTTTTGGGGTTTTGGGGTTTTGGGG